TTTCCTCGAATCGTAAACATAAAATCCCAACACTCACCGTCGAAGTTGCAGTTAAGAGTGTCACAATAGTTTTCATGAAGTGGGTCCTCAGTTGTTACGCGAGTTGGAGTCACCCAGCGGAAGGGAGGTCTCCTGTAAATTTCAAGGATTGATGTTCAGCAATCTGAAATCAGGTTCCGTAGCTTACGCAGTGGTGGACCAACGCGTAACCCTTCCTCTTGGATAGTCTGGCGGAGGAGTGGTTGAGATGATACGCCTAGAAACAGGTGCAAAAATGTTTTGTCTATTCCTTGTAAACAGCGGTAACTTGCGTTGGGTAGGGTTTTTTCTTAGGATATGGATCCTTAGTCGATGGCTTCACAACGTGGACTGAGGGCAAACTAATAAGTCTTGGCTGCGGCCAGATCGTTTTGCGTATCCCTGTTAAGACCAAAGGAGGCTGCTCAGTTTGCTCATCGGGTTCCGGTACTTCCTCTGTTGCAGGGGCAACCTCAATCGGTTCTGTTGTTGTAGTAGCTGTTGTCGAGATTACAGTCGTCGTAGGTGGTTCGGTTTTCTCTTTACTTGCGCATTCACCAATGTAAGCGATCTCATCGATCACAAGAAAGCGATTCTTCAATCCTTTCTCCCAGTGGGGTACAAGGTTGAGCTGGAATTAATCATAAAAGTCCGATTATCAAAAGCAGAAATTGATAACATTCCCGGTACAAAGTTCTTACTGTAAAAGGCTCTCTAATACTCTTTGTCAGGTCAAACACAGCTAGTCGGCTCTCATGTTTTGTGCTGGCTCCTTGGTCTATGCACTCCATCAACTGACTGTCGACACCTAGATTTACACCCGTTAAAAATCAGGATACAGATAGAAAGGTATGTAGTTTTGATGTCATGCTTACCATAACCGAGGACACACACTTGAAGTATAATATCTCCATTCGACCAGTACCGAAACAGCAACTAAATTTTTAATGTAAATGTGTGCCTCTCTAGAAGGGATTCTTCAAATCGGTCGAACAACCGAAAAGATTATTGTGTTTTATTAAAATACGACACATTTGATAGGTACAAACCATTTCTTAAGAAGAAAGATGGTTAAAGCTTGTGTGCCCCAACTACTGCGAATGATATAAGTCAC